TGCAGATAACCTGGTATGTCTCTTGCGGTGTAGGCCAGGAGATCATCGACTACCAGGTTCCAGAGGAAAGGGGAAAGGATGCCACCTTGAGGGCACCCTCTCCGGATCCGAACCCTTGTCGACTTATCCTTATGATTTAATGTGATGAATCTGTTAGTTACCATGTTGATAATCCATTGTGCTGTGGCCAGATCCACTTTCGTGGTCTTGATAGCGTCAGAAATAGCCTTGAAAGAGACATTATCAAAAGCTCCCTCTATATCTAGAAAGACGCCTAGGACATATCCCTTCTTAGCTATCCTGCGCTCGATGGTGTGAGTAACTTTATGAAGGGCTGCTTCGGTTGAACATCCTTTCTTAAAGCCAAATTGTCGTTTGTTGATGTCTTTAGCGATATTAAGGTCGTGTTGCATATGCCACAGTATCACCTTCTCCTGTAGTTTTAACATCACTGGAGAAAGGGTGATAGTGCGAAATGACTTTGGTTGGTTGTAGTCAGTTTTTCCAGGCTTTGGGAGAAAGATTCCAAGGGATTCTTTCCACAAAGTTGGAATGTGTTGGGTTTCATGATTTTTTGTCATAATGGTTCTGGTGATGTCTTTGATGTGTGTCCAAGCTTTCTGTATGATGATAGGTTTGAGGGTGTCGGGTCCAGCAGCTTTCAACGGATCGAAGGATTTAAGAGCCTCCTCGATTCTGTCTGGGCTGTAGATGGTATTGAGTAAGGTGGTGGTGATTGGTAGAGGACCAGGTGGAGGCACTGGCGGATCAGTGACACTATCCTTGAAGTGGGTTCGTGTCATGACCTCCAATGTCTCCTCTGCATTTTTGGTGATGTCTCCGTTTGGTTTGTAAACGGCTTCTAGTGTATGTTTGTTGTCGTTACAGGATTTCAGAATCTTATTCATCCTTCCGGATTCCTTAACAGACTCTGTTTCCTGACAAAAAGTTCTCCAGGCATTACGCTGGGAGTTGGTTATAAGTCTGTTGTATTGTTTGTTGCTCTCTCTAAGAGCGAGCCACAGGGCATCAGTCTTCTTTTTGCGGGCAGTAATCAGTTTTTGTCTTATTCCCCTCTGTGCTTCCTCTACTTCTTGAGTTAGCCAGGGGGGTTTGCGGACGGAACTTGAGATGTAAGTAATGGGGCATGCCTCCTCGAAGGCTTCCTTTAGTGCAGTATTGATTATGTCTATTTTGTGATCAATTTCAGTCGTAGTGTTGATTTGTGTGTTGTTAAGGTTGGGGTTATTCGATAGGATCTCATCAAATCTGTCCCAGTCAGTGTTTTTGACTAGTCGGATCTGTTTGGGTTCCTTCTTTGGCCCTGTAGTTATATCGAACATAATATAGCGATGGTCAGAGTTGGAGTAAAGGTCACTAACATGCCAGTTACTAATGAGATCTCCTCCCAACTGGTTTGTTATTGTGAGATCGATAATTGAGTTGTGGCCTCGAGAGTTGAGGAAGGTTGGGGATGATCCTTTGTTGGCACATGACAGCCCTAGGGAGGAGAGAAAGTCAAGAAGCTCCTCTCCCCTTTTATTGCATGCCTTGTTCCCCCAAAGGGTGTGGTGGGAATTGGTGTCCGACCCTATAATGAGCGGGATGTTGTTATCATTTGCGTATTTTGCTAGAGGTGATGTTTCTTGTGGCGGTACCGGCCCATTTATATCCATGTACGAAGCTGCCAGAATGAGTTCTGTCGAGCTGAGTTGGATTTTAATGGCCACTTGATCGGGTGTTGTGAATTGTGTAAGTTCCCAACATTTTACTGTCAGGTTTTTGTGCAGTACAATAGCGGCACGGGGTCTTTTATCCCCGACCTTGTAGTAATATTGGGTGAGATCCTTATTGATGGGTGGTATTAGGTTTTTGTTATTAGAGTACGGTTCTGTTGCAAGAATGATTGGATTTCTCCGGCCGTGAGTGTTGATAAGGAGGGTTTTCCATGCATTGAACTTGCGTTTGAGATTAATTTGGGTGACAGAGTAAGTTTCAGACTGCTTATTGCGTGCTGCAATAGTAGTTTTTAACTTTTTTTGGCGTCTCTTCTTTTTTGTGCTAGTTTGAGCGTCATTGAGCGGAGTGGAAGCCGTCCCTCCCCCTAGACAGGTATTATGACCTATCATTGCCGGTGGGGCGCTGAGGAGTTGGACAGGGTCGGGTAGCAGCAGCTGGCCCTCCAGAAGGTACGCATGGTCCCTTCCAGACAAACAGCCCCCGCCAGACCTTCCCTGAACATGGCTCCCACAGTCCGCTCAATAGACGTTTGTGTGTGAAATTGTGTTTGTTGTTATCTTTTGTTTGTGACCATATGTTCTCACGTGGGTGCGCGCACCCGCGCGAAGATATGATTTTTTTAGCTTTTAACACAATAATGTCGTATGTCGGTTGGACCATTGAGACTTGCCGAGAGTCAAAAGTGGTCGGTTGAAAGTAGGTTGTTGGTCTGATCGCAATGCCAACTGTCGATTCAAAGTCCCCATCCGGCCCGACTGCAAACAACTTTACTTGCTTAAGCTGGTCGTTATGGATAGTGACCGTCCCTCCAGTTGGCACCACTGTTGGTAGTAAAGGTTGGTTTTTGGTGTTGTTACAGTATATTACTTTATAGGGTTCGTGGACGGTGCACAAAGTGCATGAGTCAGACCCAAGAGTCCGTGCACATACATTCGTGTTTGCCGAAGCACACTCTATCCACGATCTATAAAGCAAATGGTTGATCAGTGAGGGTGTATCGTGAGTTTTAACACTTTCTGCGAATCGTAGAAAGATGCTGAGAAATACTACGACGACAGTGTTGAAATGCCGCCCAATAAAACAGGGAAAATGGGTGCTAATGATCGGCATTAAGGGCCCGACCTGAAGCGCACACCCTAAACTTCAAAAACCCTATAGCTCAATGTGAATGAAAGCTGTGAGAGCTCAGGGAGGAAGGATCAGGTGAGTTAAATAGCCAAAAGAAGTGCACGTGCGACTTATGTCCAGTGATGCCCAGCTGGACAGTACGGCTTAGTTTCGGCAGGTCGAGTGAAGCCGAGTAAGCCCCCTTACCACGTCAAGGTCACTTAACCGACTCCAGGCTGCAGTTCCAATCAATCCAAGAATGAAAGACACGAACAAGAAGTGGGTTGAAAGGAATTACAGTCAGATAAATCAGAGTAAGTGGGCGGAGTCTTCACGAATGCTCTGGTGCTCAGGACTGACTCCGCCGCCGTACTTATAATCCCAGCAATTCTAAAGCGTCCAGGAGGCCCCAGACGAGAGGCGGGAGCCCAAACCCCCCGTGCTAGCCCCGAGAAACGGGTCCAAGGCCCGAGAGTTTGACAAGAGCCAGGATCGCAATGCTAACTGTCGATTCAAAGTTCCCATCCGTCCCGACTGCAAACAACTTTACTTGCTTAAGCTGGTCGGTATGAATAGTAACCGTCCCTCCAGCCAGCACCACTCACCCATCCCCGCCGCACCCCCGTGCCAACCCCCAGATCTCAGACCATACCACGAGGAGCACGAACCCACACCAATCCCGCCCAGGACCCACCCAGCCGCTCGAATTACCGGGAAGCTGCCTGGCTAATGCTCTGGACCAGAACAAAAGGGGGAAGAGAAATGTCTTGAACGAGGGAGGAATGTTAATTAAACATGGAGATCAAGGGGCCATCGGGGCCATCAAGAGCCTGATTATAGAATACATCTAATTCTAATGAGAACTAGGTCTGAATATATTGTGTAATTATTCATATTGGGACGATGGAGTCCGGACGGCTGCTGGCCCAATAATTTACTGATATTAAAGAAAAGTTGGCTTTCAATATATTATTTATTGATAAAAAGCGTCCGTGTGATCCACCATCCTTTCCGACGAAGTAGGTATAATAATGTAGCGTATATAATTAAGAAAGCAAACCCACACATAGCCTCGGGTATAGGACACTAGGGCGTAGGAAACAAAGGCGGTAGAGGCAAGAGCGGAGGACACGAGGGCGTTACTTTCCTTAAAGGGTGGATACAAGTACAACAACTGAGTAGTGTCTTTACTGTGTGAATATCTGAAGCAGTATGTTTCACAGTATATAATAATATAATAAGTTCAGCAAAACATTTGTGATGCCGAAAAGGTACAAAGTTATCCAGACTGAATAACTGTTTAGACTGATTTTGAGCGATCTTATATCCACCTGGTGAATCAAGGAATACATGAACGTAATTCTTAAGACAATAAGTTTATTGTAAAGGTAGAGTGTGTAGAGATAGTAACTAATTAATCAGGTGGTATCTGACCAGACAAAAGAAGTAAATATTAGCAACAGACAAGTTGTGATCTGAATGATATAGCAATTTAATGGAATCATAAATTAGAGTGTGCCAGATGCATCATTGTCATCGTACAAAATAAAATGAAATGTGAAATTGAACTTTTCGTTACATTTAAAAAATCGCAGCTGGTGAAAAAAAATAGACGTCTTCTTCCCTTCATACGGGCCACCATGTTCCACATTAATCTTTAATCCAGTATTATCAGTTACAGTTCGTGTGGTAGCAGCTGTTCATTGTCTTATTCTAACAGCAGCCTGCCCTCCGTAATCTGTTCCTAACTGGATAAGGGGTCGTTCACGTCATATGAATGACCCCTTAATCAGTAATCTGTTAAGTAAAGAGTTTACACTTTACTCCCGTGTTTTTCCTTAGCCTACATCAAACTTTGATGAGTAAAGGTCAATCAATATTTAAATAATATAAGTCGTTTAATAATATAAGACATAAATAATAATATGAGTGATAAAACTTAAACTAAAGAGTGGCCATTACACGCCCTTTAGTTTATATGTTATAAATGAGACATCGGATAAGTTCAAATTTTGTGCTAAAACTTTATCATTCAATAATTGTCTGAGAAGCTGTGAAAGTTGATGATTTTGCTTCTTTAATGAACTTATTAATCAATTGAAATAACTTAATCCTATAATTGATTAACTAATTAATCAATTACCTTTCCTCAGATGATGGTGACCAACCTGCGGGGTGAGATGACCGTGGAAGTTTCTCCGAACGTATCAGATCTCTTCCTTGACAGCGACAGTTACTTGTCCAAGGTAATTATCATTAATTCATTAATTATATATTCGTTAATTGTTAATTAAGTATAATTATCAATTAGTATCACTAATTAATTTAATATTCATAAATTAATAATCAATTAAATATTCATTAATAATTGAATAATTGATATTTTTGGTGACAAAGTGAGAGTCTCCACTCAGTTTTTCTAACAAGTTGTCGACGTTTCGGCCCACGCCTTTGTCATGGACGACTGACGAGACGTGACAATTACGTTAAAAATTAATAAAGCTCAATAAATGTAATAGATTTGTAGTGTTGCAATTAGTTTAAAGGTAACTTACAAATGTCGGTTAATGTTTAACAGAGTAACACGTTGCATTTTTTCGAAGAACCGTTGCTCTGGGATTTTACAGTAGCCGGGATACTTCGTGAGGATGTCACTTCTATTTGATATTGGAAGTTGTCTTTATCAATAGTTTATTCTTTCAATTTTACCTTACACCATACAATTATTTTTTCGTCGTTGCTCCACAACGATTCTTGGCTGGCGACACTTTTTGTCGGAAGTCAATTTAATATGTAGTATTTGATTAGTCGCTATACGGCTGGTAGAGCGTAGAGTGTGTACGTGCGAGTACTTGTGAGCAGAAACAGGTTACCACAGAAACTAACAGGTTACCACAGAAACATAAGGTTACCACAGAAACTATTGTGTCAAAATTACACTAGCGTAATCATTTGGAACCCCCCCCCCCCCCCCTCCTCGGCTGATTACGTGAATATTTATAACGACGATATGTTTAATTGTATTTCACGAGCGATTTTCAATCGCGTTCTGAAAATCGAGTCTAATAATCTATCTTCTCCTACATTTTTTGAGCAATCACCCTCAAACTTTCAGGATATGTTCTTAGGATCAGTTAGAAGAGAACTCTACAGCCAGAATTTTGGGATAGGCCTTTAAAGATTTTTCTTTCGATTTTTTAAATCTTGGACCTCTAATAATCGACAAGAAACGAGGTCTGTCACTCTTCTCTATTAAAAACAAACTATAAAGTCGATTTCGAGAGAAATTTGATGAAGAGCCCCTTAACGCAGCTGTTGAATTCCTACAGTAAGATCAACCCATTTAGCTCACAAGAATGGGTCATCTGCAAAGAATCACAATCTAGCTTACTTCTGCAACGTAATTAATGTTAGCATGCCCACTCAGAGAGAACTGAAGGTCTTGAGATGGTGTGACTGGTTCTCCTCCACTATTACAAACTAATGTATCAGTATGAATGAAATTTAATAAGAATTACAGATCAAGAATTTTCCATTTCCACAGCTGTTCAGTGGTGACAATCTAATTCGTCAATTTAGCCGGTTTAAATGGCCATCTGTCAATTATAACCATGTTACTACTACCACTTAATTTAATAAGCACTGTTCGAGGGGACATATAGGTTGAGCGGAACTAGCTCTGAATAGTGAATAATTTTATCTTTAGCAACGTGTTCCAACTATTTTTATGATGAAGCTGCTAAGTTTTCTGTTAGCTGTGATAGTTTTAGCTAACCCCACTCTGAGTGAGCTGAAGATTTTAAATACTCCTGACGGTGTAGCTGGTCCCCCACCCTGTGCAATTACTTGTTCTGGTGTCGCGCGACACACCGACAACAGATGGAGAGAATGGAAAAGGAACGCATACAGACGGATAAACTTTGCAGAGTGTGGATTTGTATCTATACCAGTTGTTACTGCTACCATGGGTGGTAGTGACATGTGTCCTTCTATCTACATACGGAATGTGTTTAGTACGAACAGTTTGTTTTATGTACATTCGGTGGAAGAGGCAACACCCAGCCAAATGGTTAACAAAAAATGTGACGTTTATTGGATTGCAGCAGGGTACAACTGTTGAAGATGAGAAGGAAGAGATAACGAAATGAATTTAGGTGTTTGCTTTTTAAAGATGCTAATTTTAGTTAAATCTCAGATTGTTTTCTTCGTTGTCACAAACTTGAAGCTTAACAAAGACAGATAAGATCTATACAATATCTTATTTAGCAGATATTATTCCACGTCCGAGTTAACAATTAGCTCGCCCAGTAGACTTAATTATCTGCTACTCAATTTAATTAGTGCATATAATAATATCATAAATATCAGACGTTTTACTTAAAGGACGAGTTATTTAGAATTTTGACTTGTTAGTAATGAGTAGCCACTCCTAGAAATCAGGGAGGACACTCACCCCTGTAATAACACCAAAGAACGAAATTCATAGCACACTCACACCCCAAGATATCACCTAAACACTAAAATTAGATCATACGCAAGTCTCGCCCCGCTGTGAGAGCAGGGCGAGAGATGCACGTTGATTTCTATTGTGCCAGCCTCTTGTTTATTTGGTTTTTGTCTTGTAATTGCTGTTTGAACCGTTACCTACACATTTGATAGAACAAAGCATTGAGAATGAAGTATTTTAAATTTCATAAAATGTCACATGATATCAATATACGGTAAGGTAATAATTTGAATAAAAAGTGTGGATTGAGAAAGTTTCGTTGGCTGCCATATGGACAAGTTAAAGTAGGGCTTTAAGACTTAGAACTACGTCTTCGGTGATGGAAACATAGCACGAATACGTGAAACCACACAGGATGGCACCACATAACGTCGTCCTTTCCCACAAAATCGTAGGGTGCACATCTGCAGGAAAGTTGTATATGCGATAAATCTGTACCCCTCCGGTTTGATCGTGCCCTCACTGTCCCTGCTCACTGTTCGTATGCCACTCCCTTGTAGTTCAAGAACATGTTTTTCTTCAACAGTTTTCTTGAAAATGGGCAGTTCCGTTACACACGTCGCGTCTTTTCTCGACAGCAGAAAGTCGGAAATAATAGTGCTCTCCTGGCAACAATAGCACTCCAATTCTGATTCCATAGTTTTGCAGTTACCGCATGTACACCAAGTCGAGACATCTTTATCAAGTCTTGAAATGCAGTTCTGAGTTTCTGAATCCGATTGTTGATGTTCTGCCCCTTCATCACTGTCATAGTCATTATAGCCTACTGTACTCGGCTCATCATTGCTGCTATGATCACTAGCTGGCAGTTTTGGATCGGCGCTAATATCCTGATAGTTATTCGTTGCTCCTATTCTATCAAAATCTAGCATGTAGTCTTCCGTTTCACTATTTTCCGAATCATCGTCAATTCCAACTGTTGTTTCGGCATCAAAATCCATACTCGTAATGTAAGAATTGTCGAATTACGCGAGCTAAAAAGATATTATCAATTAACAAGTAATCAGCGCCAACTAAACTAACCATACACGAGTCATAAAATAATGGCTATTTAGTTTATCAACTAAAAATTCTGTGATAACAGAGCTAAAGACTATGGTGTCCTGTGCTGAAGGAAACTGTCCTAACAACACTAAGGTTAAATTCAAGAAGCAACCGTTCATATCCAAATGGCATGGACGGAAGTTTTTACGATTTTATAAAATACCTGATCCTGAAACGAAGAAAGAAATTTTCATGAAGTGGAGATTACGGATTCGACGGAGACCTGAAGACGTAACTAAGCATACACAGATTTGTTCGGAGCACTTTGCAGATGAAGATTTCAATTCTTACGACTTCGATAGTGCAAAAAGAGCGGAGTCGGTGACAAATATGTGGGTGAGACTGAAACCGGATTCAATTCCAAATACTGATAGGGTGACTGGTGAAATCAAGATTCATCTGCAGTTAAACTTCGATATTGATGGCGGAAATTTTGATCAGCCAGGACGCAAGAGGGTAAGGAGAGACATCGGTTATATTGATCAGTTAGTCGAAGAGAATGAAGGAATACTTGACCGTTGTTCTCTAATAAGTACCTCCATTGAAGTCGGAGAAGCATCACAATCTCAAGAATTGATAGCCACCGAAGAACCCAACTTTGAAATAATCCCGAACAGATATCTATCTGTCCTGATATCAGCTGACACAAACAATGACAAAGGTGTCCAATGCAGTCCTCGTACTACCAATAGCTCGATGCAGACTGGACTATCATCATTGGTACAATGTTCTGGTCCCCAATCTGAAGCTGGCCCATTTACTCAGGATCTGCCAGAGGAAATTCTAGAAGAAGAAACTGACAGTGATGACTGTGACGACAGCGATGAAGATTACACTCCAGGAATTGCACTTTTACAGTCAAGTTCTCGCGGAAAAAAGGTAATATATTACGTTTCATCAATTATGTATGAATGAAATTTAATGAGAATTACAGATCAAGAGTTTTCCATTTCCACAGCTGTTGAGTGCTGAAAATCTAATTCGTCAATTTAGCTGGTTTAAATGGCCATCTGTCAAATATAACCATGTTACTACTACCACTTAATTTAATAAGCACTGTTCGAGGGGACATATAGGCTGAACGGATCATTTAAAATCACCACTAGGCACTAGCTCTGAATGGTGAACAATTTTGTCTTTAGCAACGTGTCTCATTGTCCCAACCCTTTCTATGATGAAGCTGCTAAGTTTTCTGTTAGCCGTGATAGTTTTAGCTAACCCCACTCTTAGTGAGGTGAAGATTTTAGATACTCCTGACGGTGTAGCTGGTCCCCCACCCTGTGCAATTACTTGTTCTGGTGTCGCGCGGTACACTGATACAGGTGACACTGACAACAACTACAGATGGAGGTATTATAAAGGGAACACGTACAGACGGATTAACTTTGCGGAGTGTGGATTTGTATCTATACCAGTTGTTACTGCTACCATGGGTGGTAGTAACATGTGTCCTTCTATCTACGTACGGAACGTGCTTAGTACGAACAGTTTGTTTTATGTACATGCGGTGGAAGAGGCAACACCCAGCCAAATGGTTAACAACAAATGTGACGTTTATTGGATTGCAGCAGGGTACAACTGTTGAAGATGATAAGGAAGAGATAATGAAATTAATTTAGGTGTTTGCTTTTTAAAGATGCTAATTTTAGTTAAATCTCAGATTGTTTTCTTCGTTGTCACAAACTTGAAGCTTAACGAAGAGAGATAAGATCGTTACAATATCTTATTTAGCAGATATTATTCCACGTCTGAGTTAACAATTAGCTCGCCCAGTAGAACTACTTCACAAGAACTACCTCTTACTTTAATTAATTTACCACTTCTCTTGACCTCCGTCTAGAAATTGAAAAATTATCTGCTTCTAAATTTTCTTAGCGCATATAATATCATAAAGGCCTTTTTACATCTTTATAACACCTTAAATTATAACATTTTTTATAACATCTTTTATGACATCTTTTATAACATCTTTTATAACACCTTTTAACAGCTTTTGACTTTGTAAAACCTTTTGTAACACCTTTTGTAGCACCTTTTATAAAGCAGCTTTAACACCTATTATAGTCTCGCGGTTCATGTTGAAATTGAATCAAGCGGTAAAAATTTGAGTAAATCGTACTAATTAGAACTTAAGTTTTATCTCTTTTAACTTAATCAAGTTAAAGTCCTTATCAAAATGGAGCTGCTCAGTATCCAGTGCAAGAACGATCATCTGTTTAAATCAACCATCCAAAATTATATTTATTCATTTTGATAAGCTTGACACAAAAATGACCGCAGGCCGCAGATGTTGAGTACTGACAATAGAATTGACCAATTTAGTCACTAATAAGATTGAGCCATCTGTAAATTTTCACGGTCTAGACCATTTTATGTTAGGGAGTGTGAGAATGGATATAAAGGTTCAACTTATCTCTAATAATCATCATTATCTTTAAAAAGTCAAATAAGTTTGTTTTTAGTAGCGTTTATCATAACTTTTGAAGATGAAACTACTCGGATGTCTGTTCACTGTGATGATAGTTAGCCACACTCTCTCGAGTGAACTGAAGATATTGAATCTTCCAGAGGGTCAAACTGGTCCTGCACCCTGTGCCCTGACCTGCTCTGGCGTGTCAAGATACAGCGAAAGTGGTAGCTACGGATGGCGGAATTATGCTGACAGTAAAGCATTCAAGATTGCTGACATGAAAGGATGTGGATTTGTCTCCGTACCTGTAGTAACTGTCTCAGTCAGAGGATCGCACTATAGTTATAACTGTCCTTCCATCAGCATAATTGGTGTCGACAGCGCAATGTTGATTGTAATCACGGTGGGGAACGCAACACCCAGTCAAATGGTGAGTGAGCAATGTGACGTGTACTGGACTGCAAACGGCTACAACTGTTGAAAAGACACGCGTGATTATATTCTAGTTACTTAATGTTGTTAAATTAAGAATTGGGTTTATCTTGCAAACCAGCAATACAGTGTTTTATTGATTGTTCTATGTACTAAAGCATTCTTTAAACATAAATAAACTAATAACATCCTGTCTAAGAACTGAGAAGTTGGTTACCATGGAAGCCAAACCATCACTCCACTTCAGGAGGTATCAGCTAATCAGCTTTTAAAACAATATTGAGCTCACAAGAATGGGTCATCTAAAGGGCACAGCCAGGCTTCAAGCTTATGGAAGCCTAACCCTCGAAACTATCGCCCCCAGAAAAGGTACCATCACAACTCACACCACTATCAACAAACAATTCATGGTAGATCTCAACATACCACCCAAAGCAGAGAGAGACCTATCTATACCAACCATGATGCTTGAACGACGCTTCACGGTCACCACTCCTGGAGCTGACAACATTGGTTATAGAGGCTCACTCCAAAACACCATCGACAACATCCCCAGTGAAACCATCACCTGCTACACAGACGGGTCACGCACAGACTCAGGTAGCGGGGCTGGTTATATTATCACCACAGACAACAACAACACTACACTAGATGAAAGATCATTCAAGCTTCCCGATTATTGCACCGTTTATCAAACAGAACTCACTGCCATCATCGAAGCTTGTAAATATCTATCAACTTATACAAACACACACATCATCATATGGTCAGACAGTCTCTCCTCTATTCAAGCCATATCCTCACCTTCAACGAGGAGTAGGACTACTAGAGACTGTTACGACACCCTCAATACACTCGGATCCACTAACACCTTAGAGATCAGATGGATAGCTGCACACATTGGATTGTGGGGTAATGAAAAAGCAGACGAGCTGGCCAAAAATGGTACAACCAGTGAATCCACTTTGAATTGCCCAATTCCACAATCTTACATCAAACGCCTGATCAACGACAAAGTCACAAAACTTAATCAAGAATCATGGATTACTGATGGTCCCAGACACACTAAACTGACACTTGGACATAAAAACATCAACATCATCAAAAATCTCAACACTACACTCAGTAACAACAGACAAAATTATAGAACTGCAGTGCACCTCATCACGGGACATTGTGGCCTCAACAAACACCTACACACCATTCGCAAATCAGACACAAGTGCTTGTCCTAAATGCGGCGACGAAGAGGAGACTGTCTCACACTTTCTCGGACAGTGCCCGGCTATTGCCCAAATAAGAGGTCAATATTTCCGGGACTACTACCTCTCTGTCAATGACATATTCGACAACCAACACATCTCCACCATTGTCAACTTTACAAACCACACTAAACGCTTAGTGGTGCCAGAGGAGTTGGACCAGACAGGTGTAACATAGCGACTACTTTAACGCCGTCTTATTTCGCCTCTCTCTTCCACACTCAACCACCACTTAAGCGTTTATCTATGACACACCCCACAACACTTACCATCATCCTTGATTACACATCTTGATTCCACTGGCATCCTCCCACAGGACTGCCATACCCCAGAGGTAGGCAAAGCATTCATATGCTATCCTCTCGTGGGCCAACCAGGCCCAGCCTCTCTAAAAAAAAAAAAAAAAAAATGGGTCATCTATAAATAATGACTCTAAGAGGAGCTGACATAAACTCCTACCCCCCCTCCCCCTGCTTATCACATCTTACAATTAGCAAGCCCAATGTAACAACTGAACAAGATAGCAGGTGCTTCAAAAAAATTTTGTTCAGACAATGTTGGAAAATCACATAAATTAGAGTAAAATAATCGAATTGCCAGACAGCTGCTGTGCCACAAAACAGCTTGTAAATGAACCAACTTCGACTTAAATTGATTTAACATATATTTTCGGTCGTGCTGAAATCGAATAATCATCTGGTTCACTTTTTTAGCACATATATATTCTAAATAATATTAAATAACAACCAGAAATGGGACTTACGTTTCTAGCTATTTTCAAGATGAAGCTGCTCGGCTGTTTGTTTACTGTGATATTAGCCATACCCACTCAAAGTAACCTGAAGATCTTGAGTACCCCCGACGGCGTGGCTGGTCCTCCTCCATGTGCCTTGACCTGCTCTGGTGTTGCCAGATACAACGATACTGGCGCCTACAGCTGGAGAGAGTGGGACTGGCAAGCAGGCAGATATATCAACATTACGGACTGTGGATTTGTTTCCTCGCCAGTAGTAACCGTCACAGTGCGAGGAGCCACCTTGACATCAAACTGTCCGCCCCTCCGTATATGGGGCAGTAATGATGTTTGGTTTGATGTAGTCACGACAGCAGCGGTAACGCCAGAGCTCATGATCAGTTGGAAATGTGACGTGTTTTGGAGCGCGTTCGGGTATGACTGTTAAGAAGACACACGGTTCTCAACTAATTTTAAGAAGAAATGTCTGTCATAAAATTAAGAAGAGTTAGTTAGATCGTTAAATTAAGCTGAAACATTTGTCAAGAATATGTGTAATTTGTTGAGATGTTAGTTGATGTAACATTACTTGCCAATCATTGTTTTAGTGTTTTTAAAATACCCTGTTCCTTTCGTAAAAGTAGTGTCTACAAAATTGTCACCGAACGTAAATGGAGCATATAATGGGTTTACTCAGAACGCCCCCCCCCCCTCAGAACCACCCAGATTTTTGTCTCGATATATGACTACTGGAGCGGAGGTGGACTACATTCTTTTAAGTATATTTTTTAGATGAATGACAGCGATGTGAGACATTTATTGGTTGTCGCTTGAAGCTGTCACATGTCCACCAATATTCTCCACCCCTATGCTATCAATATACCTGGAGGTACTGGTGATGAACCATATTTATTTAGACACGTGACAGCGATTCTATGTTTTAAAAGCTCAACCCTTGAAGCTGATTGGTTAATCACTGTACGCTGTCACGTGTTACCTGTCACGTGTTACCTATCACGTGTTACCTGTCACGTGTTACCTGTCACGTGTTACCTGTCACGTGTTGCCATGGAAACTAACTCCCTTCCTCACCCCAGGTTATCTCCGCTCTGTCACGTGTTACCTGTCACGTGTTATCTGTCACGTGTTACCTGTCACGTGTTACCTGTCACGTGTTACCATGGAAACTAACTCCCTTCCTCACCCAGGTTATCTCCGCTCTAGAAGTGTCCTCTCAGAAGGAGATACAGGCTCTACGTGAAGCTATACTGCCTACTGTTATGTGTAATGCAGCTGGACTGGGTAAACTGGACAAACTCACCGAGGCTGTACAGCAGGTATGCCTTGTAATGTACTCCTGATATTACTATTACATATTTAAAATACCACATATTATCTTTTAATCTTTGCACGTGAGTTTCTCGCCAGATACTCCAGTCAGTCAGAATTAAATGGAAGTTCACACGTGATCTCAAGTTGAATTGGGTTCAGGGTAACTTACAATCTTAAGTTGAATTGTGTTTAGGGTAACGTACATACGAGTACTAAGGTAAATGAGAAAGTAAGTCTTATTCTCTTATTATATGTAGCTTTAGCTGCGCCTTACCTTCAATTAAACTGTTAATCGTTCAATGGAATTGTAGAAAATACTAAAATTGTTGTTTATTTACAATTTATAATGCGAAATTGTTTAGAAACACTGTTATTCAGGAAGTTTGTAGATTGTCTGACCATTTTAACAATGTTTTCATAATTATCTTAGTTACAACCACTCATCAGTCCTGCCCAAAATTCTAAAATTAGCACATGTGGCTAATTTCTGCTGTGATATGTATTGTATCTTGCAAAAACTTCGTCTGTGGTTATCAAAGAAAGACATATTAAAATCAAAGATACCATAATTGAGTTAAAAGTCTGACTGAATAACAATAAATCTCGTATAATTTATATTGAAACGATAGTACCACTTAAAACAAATTTCATTGTGTCCTTAAACAAGCCCTCCTAAACTACAACCCAGTCACTTCATTTCACGTTCAGTTGATTCCCTGAGCATTATTGGTCAACTATTTAAATTCTAAAGAATTTTTTTAAGGCAGGAAGATCAACAATCCACCTCTTATTTCTTTAGAGATAATGGCCATAACTAATCAACAAATATCGCTCATGTTTGTCAACAAACAGTATTACAATGTACATTTTAACACTGTTTGTATTGCAATTCCTGAAACTTAGGCGCCATTCACAAATTACTGCGATCCTTGTATATCATTTTCACGCGACATAATTAAGTTACAATGATGGGAATTCCGATCTCTATTCTTATATCAGTGTTTCTAAGTGATAGTTGGTGTGAAATATTTTTGACGAAATTACCGGATTGTGCTGAAAAAAGGGGAGTACTTTGTAGAAGATATTTTGTAAAGCTTCCACACTCCAGAGTCGTACACTCCAGAGTCGAGTCGTACTGTGTTATTTATTATAATGTTGTGATTGCATAATTTATTGTAAATATATTATATTTCAGTATTATGTATCGCGATGGAAATATTTTAAGCGGGTAATATCCTGTCCAAACCCAGGATACATAACACGAAGATTTTGTTATAACTTGTATGAAAAGTATTAATACTACTGATCGTACATCGTTTCAAGTAGAGCTAAATGGTTATAATTATTGATAAGAATTTCTGGGTTTCAGAAATAAAGGTCAAGTAACTTACAAGAAATAGTGCAATAAAATAAAGCAGTGGTTATGACTGAAGGACAGGAAAAGAAATGATGTCAGTGTTTAACCACGTAGGAAAATCTATCAAAAAAATATAAATCAGTAAAACACTTAAACACTGTTTAAGAAACGCTGTTTGATTACCACCGTTTACCAGTTACCACAGTTCAGCCAGTACTTTACCCGCAGTGCGTGTCAGTAAACAAGGCAGACTACGATGGCAGGACCCCACTGCACCTGGCAGCCTGCGAGGGGCACTGTGAGGCTGCAGAGTTCCTCCTCAAGAACGGAGCTATAGTTCATTGTAAGGACAGAGCTGGTAATACTCCCCTGGTGGACGCTATCAAAAACAAGTTTGTACTTTAACTTACAAAAACAAGTTTGTACTTTATAACTTCCGCTTTACAGCTGCTGTGAGATAAGTTAATATCAATCTTCCGATACAGTTTATCTTCCATCATCGTATATTTGATTGTATTTAATTATATTTAGAATATAACCGTTATCTTTTGCCGAGCGTTTTTTAAGGTTTCGTTTCGAGTGTAGAAAGGTAGAAATTTACTTGAGGATTTACGATGTCTTTAAACCCCATTCATTGCACCTTCTCTGCTCGTGGACTGAATTCTAGTTAGATTTGTCATTTGCATCAGAATTTTAATTTAATTTTCTCTGTTAAATAAATTAAGCGGTAAAGCGTGTTAAACCTATCAAACTCATGTTCACCAAAACAGATTACCGCTCCATTGATCGAGTTCCCAAATTTATCGTTCTAAAAACTGTATCCGTGATGAGCGTGATCTAATATTTATATCCTAACTTTATACCCGTGTGTTACAATCAACATACCATGATCAAGGCTTTTTCACTTTTTCAGGACCATGCAAACGTGATCATTTTTTTCTACATTTTTCTAAAATGTAAAAAAATTCGAGATGTGATTATTTAACATACCCCTTAACGTTCTACCTGCACGACGGCAAAATACACTCACCAATTCACCCCAGTTTTTTGACAAGCTTCCGATTAAGTCTCTGTTTCTAGAGAGCATGGGTTTCTGCTAAAAAGTGCGGAATTTTTCTAAATTAGCTCACCCTCGCCCCTCATCTCAATAAAAATTATTCTGTACAATTCTGTGCTTGACAATCCTGCCAACGAAGAAGAATACGTACATTTTACATCCTTTATATAGTTTCTAGGTTACACATTACCTTACATTAAATATTAAATAATCTTACATAACATTACAATTAACATTACATAATATTACATAACCTTACATAACCTTACATAACCAAGAGTTTAAATTCCCAAATAGTCAGACTGAGCAGGTTGAGCTGTAGTAAAACACAGTACTGAGGTGTTAAAACATTTTCATTACTATCTTCAGTAACATCCTGAATCAGAAACTCGGTTAATATCAGTTCCTACAAAGTGTAACATTGGAAATGAAATGACACAACTAAAAACGATACCTATGAATATTTTTAAAAACATAACTTTTGTGCCCCAATGCAATGGAAAACCTTTAAGATAAATCCAATAATGGAATCCCAAACGGGTCCACGGCATTGAGCCCCAATGGACGTATAGTTCTTAGTTTCTGAATATAACGGTGTTCATCCACTTCTAGAGTTCTTGGGCTACTATTACTGAGAATTGACACTTTATAAGCCTGGTTGAAATTGTCACGCTGTTTCATGTTATGAACTTCTACAAGGTGTTTACCCAAGCTGAATCCGTCGTCGTTTTCTTCAGGGACAAACGTATTGTCCGAAATGAGTTTGTAGGAATGGGCGCGATGTTCGTTTACTCGTGCCCTTAGGGGCTGCACCGTTCTTCCTACATAACACATATTACAAAGTTGGCAACTGAAGATGTATACAACATTGTAGCTGACACATGTACCAGACACTGCTTTGGCTCGCTGTCCATTGACTGTTATTGATGGATGTGGAGATATAATGTTACAGGTACCGCAGTGTCTGCCCCCACATGGTCTTGTGTGAGGTTGGGTTAAGTCATCCGCAAACTGTTTTGCTTTGACTAACTTCCTTCTAAATGATGTTCCAGTACGTCTGACGAATTTGAAGATAGGGCGTGATGTACCGGCTCTAGATGATATTGGGGAGCCTGGGGTGTTTCCACTTGTATGGGAACCAGATAATCCTGAGAAGCTCCTGGTTCTACTGAGTTCTGGTTCCAATCCTTTTACCGATTCTACTAACTCTTGATCGCTGCCAAATGTTGAAATAACGCGGACTGCTGGTTCTGGAGACTTTGGGACCAGGACACTGCTGTTTGAGTTGTCCAGTGGTTTGAGGCATCTTTCAAAGCCTTTGACTTTTTCACTGATGTTATCTACCATAGTTTTAGGGTAGTTGGATTGGAAGAAAAAGGTTTTTAATTCATCAATTTGTTTTCGGAGTCTGTCGTTATCATTGATGATTCGCCGGAGTCTCAGGCATGCACTATAGACTATGCTGCTGAATGTATGGTTCGGGTGGTGGGAACCGAAGTACAGGTAAGAGCGAGCATCAGTCTCTTTAACATGGAGGTCTGTCTGAAGATCACCTGCGGTGTCGAAACAAAATTTTATGTCTAAGAACGCCACATAAACATTGTTATCTTCTATGATGTTCTCATCAATGTGGAGGCCAAGTTCTGCTAGCCTTGTATTGACAGTCGCGATGAATTTTGAAAACTGTCTTTTCGTTCCATGGAATACTCCACAGCCGTCGTCTATGTATCTCTTGACCGATTTTACAGGTTCCATTAGTTCCGTGTCTGAATAGACTTGCTCACGCATGACATGGTATACTGCTATGTTTGCAAGTTGTACACAGATACTGCCTCCTGTCGGTACTCCTCGTTTTTGTCTGTACCACTCTCCGTTAAATTTGCCTATAGACGAGTTAACAAGTGTAAGGATTGGGTTATAAGATCGAATCAGATGTCCGAGTCGGTACGGGTCATTTTCATTGTGGCGCACACTTGCCGGTTTAGTTTACTGGGCTGTGGGCTGCGCGTTCAGCCTTTGTCATCCGTTTGTATGACTATGACCCGCCGCGCACAGTGCTGAGTGCGCGGCTCCCCCTGTATCGTCGAAACTTTCGACAGGGGTGAGAAGCGACAGTGGGTTCACCACGTGATACATCTCAGCCTGTCATCCGCCTAATATCTTACTAATATGTTAATAACATGATAGCCCAAGTCCCAGTAAGCAACGTGTACTATTTTAGTATTTTGGCGAAGCAAGTAAGAGCAAAGAGTAAGGGTGTTGAAATTTGAATTGTCTTCAGCTGGCCATCTAGAGAACATTTTATAGATCATGATGTGTCCAGAAGACCTGTGACTAAGGCTGTCCAGGATCAGGACTGCGTCCAACTTCAAGTATGCTGCCTACTTGGGTTGGGCCCTGGGTAGTTTCCCCGTTTACCTCTGCCTTATTAGCACGCCAATCCACAATGCGCGGCGCGTTCTTTCAGAGCTTTCTCGTGAGAATAGCGAGCAATAGACACAGACTAGCATGTGGGTAACTGTAACCCACCAGCTTTACGCAGATGCTCCCCATATAACAATCCAGGTGTTGTTTCCCATATTAGATGGCCAGTCTACTTATGACGTCCGGCAATTAGGGAGGGGCCGGTTTAGGGATTTCGACAAATCCGGACAGGGTGGAGAAATAACGAAAAAGTCCCATTTATTTCAACTTTTCTGAATTTTATTTTCTACTCTTTGATATTTTATTAACAATGAATTTGAGTTGGTTTTATTTGTTCTCTAAAAAGTAGCTGGAAATTCGCACGTCCGGGGGAGGGGGTGGTTTTGAAAATTCGGACACACCCAGACAGGGTAGGGGGGTCTGAAAATCTGCGATTTTGGCGGACGTCCTAAGTAATGGCCCCTAACGTAATCACTGGGGGAGGGAGGGTTTCTGAAATGATTCGCTAGTGTAAATTTCAACACAATAGCCTGTAAAACTGATTACGGATAGGGGGTGGGGGGTGGGGGTGTCAAAAAATGGGCTAAAAAGTGCAATTAATGTATGTGAACGACCTCTTATACCCGGCCAAATACAAAATATTTTTCCATAAATTTGTATATTTTTTTTATTTTATAAGACACTATTAAATATAGATTTAAATCTTAAAGGGGAAATTTAACCCTAAAATTTCTAGGATATTTACAAAAAATATATCAAAATATTACATCCAGTCTCTTTTTTACATTTAACCAACTTTACATCAATTAATTTGATACACGCTTTATATACAAAAAGTAAATTCTGAAACCAAAATCGCCTAGTAACCTATCTCCACCACAGGTGAAGGTTCATAACACCAAACAAATTATAAAATTAATTTTAATATGCATTATAAAAATCTGAGGGGGAGCTTGTCATCATTCTCTACAATTCTATAAATTTTCAAGTTCACTAGTTAACATTTTTCACTAAAGTGATGCCCTCTTTCACAAGTGACTCCCAAAACTTCCAAGTTTATCTCCAACGACAGTGTCCACTGTCCATTATTGGGTAAATAGGCATGCGTTTAAAAACAAACACAGATCTTATCTTACAACAACGAGCCCCAGTCTTTATTACCCTTATTAGGTGATTGGCGTTTATCAAATACCGACGTTTAAACCACCCGTTAATAATTCCACAATAAATCGAAACGTAAAATCATTTCAACCGTTAAATATAACCCGCAGTCTGACCCTCAACTGATTATAATCACGTTCGGTGGGGGTTTTCTTTCAGAAGGCATGCACTTCACACACTGCAGCTGTGTGTCCCGAACACTGAAACAGATAAAATAGAGATCATGGAGGGCTGTGAAGGGCTGTTCCGATTGTTAAGGGTTCAATTAAATGTGGGTTAATTAAGTGTGCACTGTAAGGCTGATAACTGGTCGATATAATGAAACATATTTCACGATAATCTTCACTCTAAGATGTGCTGTAAACTCCCACTCAACGAAAAACTCTTCCGTTTGTAAACTCCACACCACAAAATCTCAAAAAAATCTCAAGACTATTATGTCGTATTGATATGACCAGAAGTGCATAAGGAATAGTGCCACACAAGATAAAAATAAAACTAAGATACCGGTCACTCTACTCACTTAAACATACATCCATTGGTGGATGATTCGCAATCAACATCTGCCTCCGCTAGATGGATACTGTTTAGTTCCTTTTTAAACGCTACATTTTAGCCCTTAATTTCCCCAATCCATTATAATTTAAACTAATTCAATAAATGGATGGACTTTGCACCTCAATTTGAGCGGACTCATTAAGTGTATACCCTGTATAGTAAAAGTTCAGTGATCGAAAACAACTAGCCGAAGAGTGCATTTTTTCCAGAGGAACCTTCGATAAAAATGATATACAATAGCGTATAACCTTAACACATTCTTTGTAAGAATAATTTCCAATGAACATCCATTTAAGCAAAATCGCGACTTACCCAAAACTTTTTAAATCCTTCCTTCGGCCAAAATAGAGGCCGAGGAATCGGTCGAAACACAGAAAAAAGATAAACCTTAATAGCTGTTTTCAACTCCCCGTTCGCTACAAATTTTATGAAACAATATGGAATAAATTCCATAGTATTTTTTTTAAACGATATTTGGGAGAGATAAACATGGTTTGAACAAGAGGTGCGAATTATAATTGTATTCACATTCCATTCATACCTACAAGATGGGTATTGTCGAGAACTCTAATAGTGAGGATAATTCACAATGTAAATTTACAATTACTTTATCACAAAAATATTATATAAATTGACATTTATTGAGGTTAGAATAATTTTCGATTCCAAACAGTACTAATAAGAAACAAAACTGCGTAATAAGCATAAGTCCGGCGTACATTCCCGGATATCCGGTAGCGGTGAGTTATCTTATCTAAGTGTTATAACCCCTTAAATACACCTTCAGGCTGATCAACTGATGGAAGCTTCGCAGCCGATCAAAACTCTAACACAGAAATAATAACTTCCGTTTGATCACTTCATATCTGTAGTTTCGATCATAAGTGGCACTATTTCATGGGCCCATGACCAACTTTCAGTCGCTAATAACTAATAAAAGCAGATAACTAAACTAAGTTACAACCAGTTAATAAACTAATGTAAACACATTTACTTCACAGACAGTACAAGTAAGGTCGTCCTGACAGTCCCAACTGAAACCGCCGTGTCTATATCCACCCGGACTTAACTCCTCCTGAGAGTCGGTAAACAGAGTTATATACAGATAATATATATATATAATAATGCAGTAGCCCACTACTAAGAATTGGTAAAGTGCGGGGTTAATAAGATAGAATGGTGCAATAGTTCAAAATCCGTTGTGAATCGTGTGCAAAAGATAAAATAAAGTAAGCGAGGGAATGCTCTTGGGTAGCCAACTTTCTCGGTATAAATAATACTTTGTGTGTCCAGGTTCTTACCACACACCACAAGGGGTAGTTTCTGGAGTGGGCTATTTATAATTTACATACAATGTACAACTACGGCTGGGATTGACGATCCAACTAAAGAACAATGACTGCAGAGTTTAGATGTAACAGCTCACAGCTGTTGTATTTTTGATACTTGAACTTGCAGAGAGGTAAAGATGACTCCGGGATGGATTAACGGAATCCTCCCCTTGAACTTAATAAAAGAATAATAAAACGTTGTTGTTAATTCAGCGTGACGACTCCACTACTCAGAATTCGGTGTCTCACGAGCGGATCCTTGAAAAAGAGGCAACATACCTACATACATTTACAATACATACATTATATACAATACATACATTCACAATATATACATTATACAATATATACATTATACAATAAATGGTAGTTCAGTTTAGAGCGAAAGCAACTAACAGTCAAACATTAACAAGGAGTAGCACTAACACAAAGAGCGTGCGACCGTTACTGAGATTAAGAAAAAACTAAACTTCCAGGTCCAGATGAAAGCAACTTTCACATTGTATTACTTACTTTTAGGTGTATAAGTGTGTAAAAAGGGTTGTAATATCAGTAGCAGATTTATACAGCAACATAAGTTAAAGACAGATCCGCGTTATCAATAAGAAATCAAACTTCAAGATAGGAGTTTAAATGAATCTACTGAAATCTTGCACGTGACCACATTTGCATCTGTCAGGGGTGTCCACTAACACATGCTCAACTTACTATCAGCCTCATCTTCAACCCCTCCAACGAGTAATCATCAAACCTCTAAAGTTTTGTAAATTCACTTCATTAAACCACCAGATCATGTGACCAAGTTTTTCTAAGTTAAAAACACTGAATTTTTTGGCCAATTTACAATAATAACTGAAACCCAATGAACACACGGTATTCAGTGACCAATAAGTGAGGTTGGTGAGAGTGACACAAGTCACCAACAAGGTACTGGAAGCTGTATATTCGGAGAAAACATTAATGGAATAAAAATTTGTCCTACCGGTAGGACATTTTAAATTTTTCAAATTTTTTAATTTGATAATAATTTTTGACATTATACGAATTTTGCTTTAAAGAGTGATTATCTCAAATGTTTTACAGGAACTAATGATGTAGTTTAACGAAGATTTCAACTAGTGTGTTCCCTTTTCATAGATAAAGGGACACTGGACATGTGGTTGTGAAGTGGCCCATCACACGTGGCTAATGTTACCAGACTTATAAAGTAGTTACCTGTCGTCTGTAAGATCTGTATCTTCTAATGTGTACTTTGTAAACTTTTGTGGGGTGATTTCGTGCTGCGCTCTGAAGAATCTCTTGTTCGATCCTGGAGAGGGGAGGGTTAGGAACCTATGCGGAGGGAGAGTTAGGAACCTATGCGGAGGGGAGAGTTAGGAACCTATGCGGAGGGGAGAGTTAGGAACTTATGCGGAGGGGAGAGTTAGGAAATTATGCGGAGGGGACAGTTAGGAACTTATGCGGAGGGGAGAATTAGGAACTTATGAGGAGGGGAGAGTTAGGAACTTATGCGGAGGGGAGAGTTAGGAAATTATGCGGAGGGGAGAGTTAGGAACTTATGCGGTAACACTAGAATGGACTTTATTAAGTACTTTACATGTATCACGTATATAATATACCTTCAATCAATGAACACGTCTTGTTGCTGGTAAATTTTTGCTTTCAATATCGATATCGAAATCATCTCCATTTATTATAGTAGACCAACTTAACGAAGGCTCTAACAGAAGGAATAGCCAAGCTGTGACTAACTTACCGAAGGCTCTAACAGAAGGAATAACCAAGCTGTGAATAACTTACCGAAGGCTCTAACAGTAGGAACAACCAAGCTGTGACCAACTTACCGAAGGCTCTAACAGTAGGAATAACCAAGCTGTGACCAACTTACCGAAGGCTCTAACAGAAGGAATAACCAAGCTGTGAACAACTTACCGAAGGCTCTAACAAAAGAAACAACCAAACTGTGAACAACTTACCGAAGGCTCTAACAGTAGGAACAACCAAGCTGTGACCAACTTACCGAAGGCTCTTACAGTAGGAACAACCAAGCTGTGACCAACTTACCGAAGGCTCTAACAGTAGGAACAACCAAGCTGTGAACAACTTACCGAAGGCTCTAACAGTAGGTATAGCCAAGCTGTGAACAACTTACCGAAGACTCTAACAGAAGGAATAACCAGGCTGTGAACAAATTACCGAAGGCTCTAACAGTAGGTATAGCCAAGCTGTGAACAACTTACCGAAGGCTCTAACAGTAGGAATAACCAAGCTGTGAACAACTTACCGAAGGCTCTAACAGTAGGAATAACCAAGCTGTGAACAACTTACCGAAGGCTCTAACAGTAGGAACAACCAAGCTGTGAACAAATTACCGAAGGCTCTAACAGTAGGTATAGCCAAGCTGTGAACAACTTACCGAAGGCTCTAACAGTAGGAACAACCAAGCTGTGAACAACTTACCGAAGGCTCTAACAGTAGGTATAGCCAAGCTGTGAACAACTTACCGAAGACTCTAACAGAAGGAATAACCAGGCTGTGAACAAATTACCGAAGGCTCTAACAGTAGGTATAGCCAAGCTGTGAACAACTTACCGAAGGCTCTAACAGAAGGAACAACCAAGCTGTGACCAACTTACCGAAGGCTCTAACAGAGGAATAGCCAAGCTGTGACCAACTTACCGAAGGCTCTAACAGAAGGAATAACCAAGCTGTGACCAACTTACCGAAGGCTCTAACAGTAGGAACAACCAAGCTGTGACCAACTTACCGAAGGCTCTAACAGAAGGAATAACCAACAGAACAGTAGGAATAACCAAGCTGTGAATTACTTACCGAAGGCTCTAACAGGAGCTTTAACAGGGGTTCTTTTCTTCTCTACTTTATCACTAGTTAGCGTTAGGCTGTTATACAACTCTATCGAGGGGGTTATGTTCACCTTTTCACTTTCGTTTCTGCAGGTATTTAGAATTTAATTATTCAATAATCTAAGAGGGAAAATAAGCCTATTTAGAACTTCTATTCAAATGGAAATTGCAATTCAAAGCAGGTTAAAAGTAGTCATTGCTGTAGCATCGCAATTTCAGATTGAAATTTTATGAAAAATCTCCTAAATTTCCTCAAACGCTACAGAACAAGTAACGCAATTACTTTTTGATGGTGTACCCCTAAAAACCTTGAGGTTGAGCGGGGTGCAGGGGGTGGTGCCATGGCCGGGGTGAGGTCAGAGGGGGCCACCGTGTCCCGGCTTAACGACCCGAACACATCACTTGCCCGACTTCTGAACTGAAACAGGAGTTTATCTGAATTATTGTAGCCACCGTGGTTTGTAGCCATAATCCGGTATTACTTAGTGAAAATGATTATAAAATAGTTTTTAGTAAAACCAACTAATTGACTAATTAATCAATTAACTGATCTACCTGAGTTCGTTCCTCTGTTGGAAGAGTTGTATCTGGGGAGAACAAGGTGAATTTGGGCTCCTCTTTTGGTGCTTCTAATTTCATCCTATAATGATAAACGTTATCTTTAATTATTAGCTTTTGTGTAGTAGATAGAGAAACTATTGTTGAGTAAATAAAGTGTTATTTATAACACGCTTTGGCTAAAAAGACATACCCTTTAAAGGAGTGTGTCATTCAAGCGTCACTCTTTTCATTCAAGTATGGCTCTTTTAATTTAACCGTGTATTGTTCAGCGAATGTATTGTATTAAGCGTTCTTTAAAGTTTAAAGATTATTTGAGTACATTAAATCTAGGGATTTAAACTAACTTTCATAGAAGTAAATAAATTAAATTATTTGGACAATTATATATTTGGACATTTTCCGGCAAATATTTCGAAACAAAACTTTGGGTAAGACTTTCAGAAAATCAATTTCAATATTTCGATCATATCATGAATCATGACCATCATAATAAGAACGTAAGAACAATCAAGCTATGAGTTCACATAGCACCAAACTATTTAACTTCAGATATTTCACTCAAGATATTTCACTCAAGATATTTCCCTCAAGATATTTCACTTCAGAGAGTCACTGAGGTCACCTGACTCGTGCATTTCTCTGATAATGTCCAAACCCCCCAGAAGTTCACCGTCTACATATAACTGAGGATAAGTCGGCCACTCCGAGTACTCCTTTAAACCTTGCCGCACCTGGAATACAATCTCAATCAACTGATGATTAGTAGTAATGCTCTGATACAGTTAATTAGGGTTTACTAACATATTTAGGATTTATATTAGATATTCTAGCGGATATGTATTGATCTGAGATTGTTTCAAAGCAGTGAGCCTATAACATATTATGTATAATAAAATATGTACAATAAAATATGTACAATAAAATATGTATAACAACCTCATTATCAGTAAGAATATCGAATGTTTTGTAGTCCACATTATACTCAGCCAGGATGCCAACAGTAGTTTTACTGAAACCACATCTCGGCTCTGTAGGATCACCTTTCATGAACAGCATGACCTGAAAAAAATGCCGATTTTTAGCCTTTCATTATTTCTTTCAGAGGTTACATAGTATTTGCATCTTAATAATTAAATATTTATCAAAGGTTTTCGGTGGTAGGAAATATAGAATTACCTTGTGAGAGCTGATGAGGTTTTTGAGTCTAGTGTTAAGAGACTGTTTGACAGGTAGCGTCGTGACAAGCTCCCCGTTTTCGTGCATCTCCTTTATAATGTCCAGTCCTCCGCATAACTCTCCGTCTAACCACACCTGAGCAGGTGTTATACAGGTATTATACAGGTATTATACACCTGAGCAGGTATTACTGTTAGCAGGTATTCGCCATTAAGAAGGGAGACAGAGACTTAGTAATGTCAAATATCTCAGCAAGTTTTATATTTGAGTTCGATTGTTGATAAAATGAAACCACAGCGCAGTAGACGTGCGTACAATAGAGTGCGAGGTATTTCCAGTACCTGCGGGTAAGTCGGCCACTCCCCAAAAGTTTTGAGTCCCTCTCTAACGTCGTTGTCAGAAAGGATATCAAAGTAGGAAAACTCAACCTCCAACGTGGAGAAGAGCTCCATAAGAGCTCTGGTAAACTTACATCTAGGTGCCTGAGAGATCAGGAAAATGAACTTCAGGTTATACAACACTAAATAAACGGATGTATCCGCAAACTTGAGTTCGGGGTTTTGTTAATTTGAGTTCGGGTTTAGGTCATGTTAGGTTAATGTAATTTAAGGCGATATTTAACTTTTAACTCGGATCAGAACACCTGAACTGTTATTAATAATTAGTAAACTGTAAGTAAATTTCAAGTTTTTAGAAACGAACGACAAACAAAATCTTACCAATTATACGCACCTGTGGACTGCCTTTAATGAACGCCACACATTTTGCCATCTGCGTTAATCGCTTTAACCGTGAGTTCAGATCCTCGATTAGAGCTTCAGCGGGGGCTATACTACCACAATCAGTAATCAGTTTATCAACTGTTTTAGCAACACGTGGTACGTTTAATCCAGCTACCGTCTCCTGAAATGAGTCACCAAGTTTAATGCCGAATGACTGTGATGTTTTTTGATCAGTTTAGTAAAAAGCCTTTACACCTTAACAAATGATGACAAAGGTGAATGAAATTCAATTTTATAAATCTTGTTAAAAGATTCTGATCTAAACGCGCGCATAAAAACCATACGTGTAAAATGTTGACATACAAAGTAAATTATAGCGCGCGTTACGCGAAATTACAGTGAAATTAGAGTGTGACCGGGCCAATTTATTACGGCACGTGTCGCCGTACACGAATGGACGATACAGAATCACGATAGTATACCCTAATCAAAAGCTAAAATCTATCATCAGAACAGCGCTCTAGTCATAGAAACTATCTAGTAAACAAGCATGCTCCAGATCAGATTTAAGACAACATAAACGCAAAGAAACGTTACAAACAGAACGCAAAAGTTCTAAAAACCTTGAGCTCTTTCTGGAGGTAAAACAGGCAAGTCGGAACTGAGTCAATGTTGTTCGTTTCACTAAACTTCGATACCTTCTCTGTATCAACCTGAAACAATATGAAAGTTCAGCAAGAGATACAGTTACTAATACGGTATACGGTATATAGTTCATAAATTTTAGTTTAATTGAACCTATTGATAAGTTAAGAAGTGGGCATCTTTACGGCCACCACACAATCTGCGGACCACCTCCTTGACTGCACCAGTCTATTATTGAGTTAGGGTTATCTGCACTGTATCCAGGAGTAATTCTGTGACAACCATACAGAACATTACCCGTTTGCAATGTGTAACAACTTGCATTGTTAACTACAAGCTATAATCCCAACCACTACAGCAGCAATCTGTTTGAACACGTCATTAGAGCCTAATGGATTGTACTCGAAATAGGAAGTGAAACGAATTCGTGGAAACTCCGTCAAGAATCGTATGGCTGTTGTTCAACTTAATACAATAAATACAAAAGTAATAAAATAAGGCACTGTCACTTTGTAAGTCTAAGTTGGGATGATAACTACAAACTGTGTGTTTATAAAAATTTTGTAATCGTAATTTTCGGATAAATTAAGGAGAAGTTCTGTAGCAATGAATATAATAACGACAGAAAAGCGGATAATACCATCATGACTTGGACTTTCCGTTCCATTTGTTTCGCGAACAATATTTGACGAAAGTCGAAATATACGATTTTCTTGAAACTTTCCAGATAGTATTATGGCAATTAGACGGATAATATGTGCAAGTTTGGGCGAATTTCTATGTGCCAAATTTGAGATATCACTTCACACACAGGAAAATATCCCATATTGGCGGTTCGTCGCGGAACGCAGGAATATATCTCCAGATCTAAATATACGATTTTTCCCCGTCAAATCTGTAGTTGTTCCAAATTGCCGAAAATCAATCGTTTTAAACAATTACTTAGAAAATTTTCTACCAGATCTTACCATACGATTTCCTTCAAACTTTCCAGATAATATGATAATTATGAGACTGACATTATATACAAGTTTGGGTAAATTTATGGGGGGGGGGGGTGTCATGTCCGTCTATGTCCGCCTATGTCCTGTCCTTTTTGGATTCTATGAGACAACGGACGTGTTTTTTGGGACATTGGCGGACACGGACGGACATTGGCGGACTCGGACGGACATTGGCGGACCCGGACGGACATTGGCGGACTTGGATGGACATTGGTGGACATTAGCGGACATTGGTGGACATTAGCGGACAAACATTTTGAGGACTGAAGAGTACTGAAGAGTACTGAAGAGTACTGAGGAGGATGGCTGAGAAGGATGGCTGAGGAGGATGGCTGAGGAGGATGACTGAGGAGGATGACTGAGGAGGATGACTGAGAGGGAGGAGAAGGATCAGGAAGACCCAGGAGGAGGAGGAGGAGGAGGACCCAGAAGGAGTACCTAGGAGGAGGAGGAGGAGAACTGAGGAGGATGACTGAGGAGGAGGAGGATGGCTGAGGAGGATGACTGAGAGGGAGGAGGAGGAGGAAGAGGAGGAAGAGGACTGAGGAGGAGGAGGAGAAGGACTGAGGAGGAGAAGGAGGACCCAGGAGGAGGAGGACCCAGGAGGAGGACCCAGGAGGAGGACCCAGGAAAAGGCCCCAGGAGGAGGAGGAGGACTGGGGAGGAGGAGAACTGTTGAGGACTGATGAGGAGGACTGAGGACGGGGAGGAAGAGTAGGAGGAGGACTGAGGAGGGGAGGAGGAAGAGGACTGGGGAGGATGGCTGAGAAGGATGGCTGAGGAGGATGGCTGAGGAGGATGACTGAGGAGGATGACTGAGGAGGATGACTGAGAGGGAGGAGAAGGATCAGGAAGACCCAGGAGGAGGAGGAGGAGGAGGACCCAGAAGGAGGACCTAGGAGGAGGAGGAGGAGAACTGAGGAGGATGACTGAGGAGGAGGAGGACTCAGGAGGAGGCACGAGGAGGACTGAGAAGGAGGAGGACTGAGGAGGACCCAGGAGGAGGACCCAGGAAAAGGCCCAGGAGCCCAGGAGGAGGAGGAGGACTGGGGACGAGGAGAACTGTTGAGGACTGATGAGGAGGACTGAGGACGAGGAGGAAGAGTAGGAGGAGGACTGAGGAGGGGAGGAGGAAGAGGACTGGGGAAGATCAGGAAGACCCAGGAGGACCCAGGAGGAGGAGGAGGAGGAGGACCCAGGAGGAGGAGGAGGACTGAGGAGGACTGTGGAGGAGGACTGACGATGACTGAGAAGGAGGAGGACTGAGGAGTACTGAGGAGGATGGCTGAGGAGGATTGCTGGGGAGGATGGTTGAGGAGGATGACTGAGGAGGATGACTGAGAGGGAGGAGGAGGACTCAGGAGGAGGACTCAGAAGGAAGAGGAGGAGGACTCAGGAGGAGGCACGAGGAGGACTGAGAAGGAGGAGGACTGAGGAGGACCCAGGAGGAGGACCCAGGAAAAGGCCCCAGGAGGAGGAGGAGGACTGGGGAGGAGGAGAACTGTTGAGGACTGATGAGGAGGACTGAGGACGAGGAGGAAGAGTAGGAGGAGGACTGAGGAGGGGAGGAGGAAGAGGACTGGGGAAGATCAGGAAGACCCAGGAGGACCCAGGAGGAGGAGGAGGACTGAGGAGGACTGTGGAGGAGGACTGACGATGACTGAGAAGGAGGAGGACTGAGGAGTACTGAGGAGGATGGCTGAGGAGGATGGCTGGGGAGGATGGCTGAGGAGGATGACTGAGGAGGATGACTGAGAGGGAGGAGGAGGACTCAGGAGGAGGACTCAGAAGGAAGAGGAGGAGGACTCAGGAGGAGGACTCAGGAGGAGGACTTAGGAGAAATGAGAAGGAGGACTGAGGAGAACTGAGGAGGAGGAGGAGGAGGAGGAGGAGGACTGAATAGGAGGAGGAGAAGGAGGGGGACTGGGAGAGGACTGGGGAGGAGGAGGACTGATGAGAAGGATGAGGAGGAGGACCCAGGAGGAGGAGGACTGAGGACCGAGGAGGAAGAGGAGGAGGATGAAGAGGAGGAGGAGGACCCAGGAGGAGGAGGACTGAGGAGGAGGACTGAGGAGGACTGAGGAGGACTGAGGAGGACTGAGGAGGACTGAGGAGGATGGCTGAGGAGGATGACTGAGAGGGAAGAGGAGGAGGAGGACCGAGGAGGACTGAGAAGGAGGAGGAGGAGGACTGAATAGGAGGAGGAGGAGGGGGACTGGGGGAGGACTGAGGAGGAGGATGGAGGACTGAGGAGAAGGATGAGGACTCAGGAGGAGGAGGAGGACTGGGGAGGAGGAGGACTGTTGAGGACTGACGAGGAGGACTGAGGACGAGGAGGAGGAGTAGGAGGAGGACTGAGGAGGGGAGGAGGAAGAGGACTGAGGAAGATCAGAAAGACCCAGGGGGAGGAGGAGGAAGAGTAGGAGGAGGAAGCATCTAAATGTTATTTCCATTTTTGTCCGTTTTTGTCCATTTTTGTCCGTTTTTGTCCGCTCTATTTTTTGTCCGTTTTGAAAATATAGGGTACCGAACGGACAAAAAACATGATCCCCCTATAACAGCAAAAATTGAACATTTTATTTAGCAATTTAGGTGTCCATTAATGTCCGCCTATGTCCGTCTATGTCCGCCTATGTCCGTCTATGTCCGCCTATGTCCGCCTATGTCCGCCTATGTCCGCCTATGTCCGTCTATGTCCTGTCCTTTTTGGATTCTATGAGACAAGCGGACATAGACGGACGTGACACCCCCCCATTTATATATTCCAAATTTGAGATATCACTTCAAACACAAGAAAATATGTCCAATTCGGTGGTTTGCAGTGGTACCGAGGCATATATTTCGAGATCTGACTATACGATTTTCTTCGAACTTCTCAGATAGTTTTATTGTCATGAGACGGATAATATGTGCAACTTAGGATCTGGAAGAAAATGTGTCGATATCCTTGAGAATGTACAAAAATATGCAGTGCTCATCAGTAATTCATAGTAAATTTTTACCCACAAACATGACGCATTGTCATGTTAGCAAATTGTATGTTAAAACATTAAATTTATAGTCCTATTTTTGTGTCCGAACAGTCTGAGACAAGGCCGAAGGAGAGTGAATACTCATTTTTCTAAGTGTTGGTTATATTATTGCATATTGGACATTGGTGGATAATAACCTTACAGATTTGTTACACAGCAGAGTCCACTCTTGCATACACGGTAAATCATTAAGTTATAAGCTTTTACCGTAGCCCTTTATTTTACAGAAAAAAGTATAACCAATCTTAAACACAAGTTAAGATTTCCTTGTAACGATTAAATATGGTCAGTGACCGTCTAAGGTATCCTCAAATCGTATGCAAATTACGAAATAAATAAATATTTGGAAGGTCTACTTCTTTGAGACCTAATAACTCGACTACAAAAACTTCTCTTCTTCTTTCACCTCACTAGTGCTGTGGACGCTATTATACTGCATCACGAAAAATAAATTAATTTTCTAGTTGATGCTTGAAATGACCTGAATTTGTATCATTTCGACAAAACCACTCTTCTCGGGCAAGGTAAATTATCGACGTTTCAATGCAACTGACTACGATAAAATCGTAACAAAATAGGTGAATCATCAAGAGAATCTAGACAACTTTTTTAGAAAACCTAGACAACTGATTGGTTAATGGCTGCGACGAGTCAACACCAAATATCTAACCTGATGAACAGTGAGTCCAGGGTACTTCTGGGTCAGAACACCCAGAGAAGCAGCAACAGTCTTACAGGGCTCCGACCAGGTCGCAGTGAAGTGTAACACTAACACCTGGTAACAGGTAGTTTAATACTTTAATAGTTTAATTATTTATAATTATTAAGTTTCATGGATTTAATATTTCCATGGATTTGATAGTTTAATGGATTTAATATTGGGTCACATATTTTGACCATAGGGTGGTCAGTGGTCACAACATAGGTCACATAAGTTTAAGGTAAGTTACTAGAACTATTTATAATATTCTTGATTGGTATGTAGTTGTTTAATTTCAGGAATCAGGAGTATGTATGACAGGTAGTATTGATGAAATTCACATTTAACAGGACCCACCTGTTCATTTGACTCTATGAGTTGTTGCACAGCACCCTCACTGCTTATCATGGTGGTAATATCTGGTGTATAATGCTGGGGGTACAATATAGTTGTTACAGTGATGTGGGTAATGTACTATGTAGTACAATATAGTTGTTACAGTGATGTGGGTAATGTACTATGTAGTACAATATAGTTGTTACAGTGATGTAGGTAATGTACTATGTAGTACAATATATTTGTTACAGTGATGTGGGTAATGTACTATAATGTAGTACAATATAGTTGTTACAGTGATGTGGGTAATGTACTATGTACTATGTAGTACAACTTGTGATGTGAGTAATGTACTATGTAGTACAATATAGTTGTTACTGTAGTGATGTGGGTAATGTACTATGTAGTATTGTGTGGGTAATGTACTATGTAGTACAACTTAAAAGGGAGATCTTTATATTGAATATTATTCTATTAAGATCAACAATTATGTGTTTGTTATATCATTTAGAAGGGAATAGAATTTTTGTAAATTTAATTTTTGTCAAGGATTCAAATAAAAGCCCGAATTGAATTAGCTAATTAGTTAATTTGCTCATTAGTTAATTAGTTAATTTGCTAATTAGTTAATTTGCTTCATATCGTTTACCACACATTAACTTGATCAGGAATTACTAAAACATCATAAGCACAGCAATACGGAAAAAAACGAAATAAGAAGTACCAAAAATAACTGGGATTTGGTTCCTTTAACTGTACACATTACTGCGGGAAAAAAACATATTAATAACATCCGGTCAACATCTGATCATCTACTTTATCTTGAACAATTAATAGGAATCAGTGAGATCAAAAACTGGAGATATAAATAAGTTAATTTTTATGTGAAGTAAAGTAACCCAATTAATATTAATAATATAGCATTAACAAAATAGTCACGATTGGCCAAAGCATTTATGCGCCATGTTCACTGTTCAAGAACAACAGATATTTTAATAAGATCGTATTAGAAAAATACAAATCCAAGATAAAAAGGCGCAAAACAAGTTCATGAAACTGATATTAAAGTTCGGTAAAAACACAACTAGTGTAATATACAATATACGTATATATATATTTTTTCAAATATACATATTTGTATATTATATATATACAAATATGTATATTTGAAAAAAAAGAGAACAACAATAATTGGTGAGTGGTGTTGGTGAACATGATTAAGTAAAACGTTTTTAACATTCTATAACTCTCTCTAAAATCTAAAATAAAAACTCTACCAGATGTAGCTCTAACTAAACGCTAACAATAAGCTACCCCCTGTTCATACTTTTCCATAAACTCCTCCATTTGGTCAAGCTTAACGTAGTGCATCAGCAGGGCCTGCTTATTACTACACCCATATTTCTGATGCCAATAAAACCCCCTGATGGTAGACACTTCTATTTTCCCTGAATGATAGGCCAGGGTCCCCATAAACGCGTCCTCTACATAAAATAAAGGTTGAACCCCCGTGTCCCACACAGACTTAAGTTCCTGGACAGTATCAAATGATAGCACATACCCGCTGCCACTGCAGTACGGAGGATATGTATCTGGATCCCACAGTTCCTTACCAACACCGTATCTGCCACGCCGCAGAACGGGCTGCCGGTTCGTTCTTGCGCCTCCAAAGAACATTTTACCGCCCGAATTACTGTTCAGCTGCTCGTGGAGGTACCTGTTCAGCAGCTTAATATTAATGAAACTATCATCATCCGTCTTGACTAAAAAGGAAAAGTTATAAGTATCCACAGAGTACTGCAACAACCACAGGACCTTCAACACAAGGTTATGATAACTATCCAGTTCATCCGCCATGATCATGTCCTGATACATCTCAATCTCCGCCTCTAGCTTACCCATTGTCTCTGCACTCTCCGTCTTACCCACTACAAACACGTACTTCCACCTGTCTATCTCAGTCCCATCATCTTCCAGCCACTGGTACCCCGCCCAGCTCTTCTTCCTGATTACTTCACGGTGCGGGGTGTGATCTGGCGCTGTTATCACGAACACTATGAAGGTATAGTAGGGTTTCTGCTCGGTGGATTCCACCTCAACTAACTGGCCTTGTTCCTCCACTGCAATGGTATCATTGCCTGCTAGGTTGAAGCCCGTGTGTTCGAACTCTTTTTCCTCGCTGTGGTAACTGAGGTTGAGGATGACGTAGGCTACACCCGTTAGGCTGAGGACTATGTACCAGAAGAGGAGGTTGGAGACGCCTCGTGTGTGATTATCACTCATTACGTCATGTCATTGTGGTGGTTGTTACTGTTGTTTCATTACCTGGATGGTGAGGTCGTGATTATAGGGTTTTGAGATGTAAGGAACTGGGATTAGGTGTCACACAAATTTGTATTAATAAAGTATGTTTGATCGTTTTAGTTTTTACTTGATTATCCGTATTGAATACTGAGCTGGAAGCAAGAAAAACATTAACAGTTGAACGAATAAGAGAATAAATTAATACAAGCCATCGGATAAGATTACGACAAACTTAGAAACTCAGGTCTTGGTAAAACGCGTTTCAGCTGGAATCGGAAATGAAAAAAGTTTAAAAGTTTAAAAACTGCGTACGGCTTGAATATTAAAATTCTTGAAGGCCCTTTTCAACATAACAATATAACAGTTAACACATTTCTTCCTCGTCATCAAGCTCACTTTCATCTCCATCTTCTTCCTCATCTTCCTCTTCTATACCCTCATCAATATCCATATCATTAAACTTCTTCTTCTTCTCTGTCTTCGTTATCTCTATGTTTAGCTGTGTGGAAAGCTTGTTAACGGGCTGTAACCACGACCTTCACTATCATATTATAATATACATAATAATATCAAAAACAATCGGAATCAGCACTCAGCAAGTTGAACGATATACCAATCACGGATATTTATAATCTTATACTGTATTAGATAAAGCATTATTAAAGAAAATTAAAACCAAAGTCACCTCAGAAGAGTTAAGTCTGAGTGCGTCACCGTCGAACATCAATCTGTGAACATCCTGAATCTGTTCCTCGGGAATTACTCCGCCAGCAATCCCATTTTCACACACAACGTAGAACTTTATTTTCTTATCTCGGAACCTTTTAAGAACCAGTCGTCCCACTGCTTCGTGGTCAGTCTCTTTTTTGCAGTACAGATTGAACCTGAGAGAGTATAGTTTTAGATATAATGCCCTATAATCGTGGAATGTTTTTTTGATAAAACTTCCTGTAATGTTTAGGGCATCGTAAAATGTACTACGTTAGTGACTGACATATTATAATTCAAAATTCATATTGTTGTAACTTTGCGGATGATCATTGCCATCTTTAACTTTGCTATCAAATTTTTATGATTTAAGTGATAAACAGGAAATTTCAATGATCCCCAAACTACATTTTCCCCAAACCACCAATCAGTCTAATGAGTACAAACCTCACTGCAAGAGCATCTGTCAAACCCTCGGGATGGCTGTAATCAGGTAGAGTGAAATGGAACATGGCATCTTGTTTACTGATACACTGTGCTAGAGCCATCATTACTTCAGTGGGGTAGTTCATAAAGTTGTGTATATTGTGTAGCACGTTTAGCAGCCCTTTGTACTCCATCTCTATTAAACCTGAGATAAGGGGAGAGTAGGAATCTATGAAATAGGAGTGAAGTGAAATCCATGATAAGAAAATAAACAGTTTCTCATATACATTATACAGCATGTACGTAAATTTGTAAATGCTGAAATTCTTCATTTGGTAGGATCTTTTATCATTTTAGGAAAACAGAAATAAGTATAATATGTAAAACAAGTGACCTGATTCCCATGATAAATATAATATTGAATGTATTAGCTTTTGTTTGGCGGCTTATAAAAGTCGGTTACCTGGCATAGTGACCAGTTTGAGATTGTCACTGAGCTTTGTCATGGTGCTTCTCTTAGCTTTTGTTCTACCGCATTGCTTCAGAATTGTGCTGACAACGGAAGATTTCCCAACTTGAGGACCCCCAATAATACCAATCTTCAGTTCTGAAATATAACGATTATTATAAAATTTTGAGCATGTCATACTTAGAAAAACATGATCAAATGTTTACAGATTCTCATGGTACCTTACATCATAGCATCTAAAAATTTTTTTTTTTTTCAAAATTCCACAAACCTTCTGTAGAAGGAATCTGTTTGAGGTGTGACAGGAATGGTTTTGCCCCACCAAACCTGGCGAGAGTTGCTTTATAAGCTGATATTATCTGCTCACACTCTGTAAGCATGATTTCTGTGCTTTTTAACACAAATGTAGGAGCTTTCTTGCTGTAAACTGAGTACCTGTAAAATTAAAATATTAGCTTGTATTTTACCTGATATCTAGAGAACCTGAAATAATTCATAGAACATGGTTCAAACATAATAGTATGTAGTATTTGTAACTTTGGATCAGTAACCCAGAGGAGGATTTCTGTTGTGAGTAAATTAAAAATTAATCAGAGTAGATTCTCAAGATTTGAAAATCATAAGAATTAAGTAACAAACCATTGATGAGCAACAGACTTTGGCACAAGATCAACTTTATTTAAAACAAAAACAACTGATTTGTCAGCACTTGAGAGTTCTGAAAAGGTTTTGTCACAGAAGCATTCCATAGGGCTGCGAATATCAATCACCCAAACAATGATGTCACACTGAGAGATCGTCACATGAGCAGAGACTGATTTTGCTGCTGCAACTGGAGTAGTCTGAACTTTAGGCTTTTGCACAACAATTAGGGGTTTTTTCTTTCTCTGCTTTTTCAGCTCATTTTTAGCTTCAGTCTGATTCAAAGCTTCAAGAAGCAGTTCTTCCTTAAATGGGGCAAGATTAGGAATGCTTCCATCAATGGTCTTCTTCTTTTTGTTGGTGTTCTTCATAGTTTTAGCAAGCTTCTTGTTGTGTTCACGGACCTTCTTTCTGATCTTGTACTTCTTGTGACACGTCATACGCTTGCTCTCCTTCTGATTGAATGCCTTCACCATTTTTGCTCCTGTACTAAGAATATACTGATATTAGCTTTAAATTCATCTTTAGAAAAGTAGAAACAAATACAAAAAATGGTCAGTACACCCTACTTAAGACTTCTTTGGCCAGCACCAGGACCATGATGAAATAGTAATACACAAATGTAGCTTTCTATGATAATTCAGTATGAAATCAATAGAATATTACAAAGCCCCTTTCAATTGATGACTCTCAGTAGTTAGTCAACTATTATTAGAATTGATCATGATTTCCGCTTGGTACTCATTAGGTCTCTAAGAAAGCCAACAGTGTGCTGATATGCATTGTCACATGTACTTACTTAAAAGGAGCACACGGCCCATTTCGGACTTGCACGAGTTATACTTATTATTAGAATTGAAGTCACCAATTGAAAGAAGCTGGTTAATATTACTGAGAGTGGGAGTTAATTAAACCAAGCAACTTTGTGTTTTATAAATATTCAACCTGTTCTAAAATTTCGAAGAAGGCTTGAACCCTGAATTAGAGTCAAAATGTGAGAAAAATTAAATCAAGCTGTCAAAGAGATCCTGATTTCCAAGCTTCAAGTTGTTTTCCGTCAGCGAATAAATACAGGAATAAGTGCAAACAATGAAGTTTTGCAGATCGGGAACAGTGATACTGATGATTTAGCAAAATAATAATAACAATAATTCTATGTAGTTACATAATTGAAACAATTATGGCCCCTCATTGTGGGCAGCAGAGGCGGCTATTGAGGGCGTCCAGGCGTCCGTGGACGCCCTAAAATTATTATCTGGTGCTTGAAAATAGAAAAAGTGATTAGTGATAGCATTCGGAAATATCTAATCGCAATATAAAGCTAGATTTGTTCACTCAAACGTTCGAATGTAAGCGCATGCATGATCTTACGTACTCAGCACATCAAGCGCATCCCACTTCAGGTAATCTATATGATTTGGTTGTCCAGGACACCATGCAATTTGAACTATTAACTGCTATGATACGGCGCGGCTGAGATTGTACACGTGTGGTGTCCTGTTTCACCCATGTTATAAGCTACTGCCTAATGCCTCACACCTCATGCAGATGTGACCAGATGTAAAGAAGAAACTGGAGCACAAGAAAAGCAATCCCGTGCTCTTATGGTGAAAGGAGTAAGGACTACAATTTATATTTTGCCCTTAATGTTTGCTGGATCGATCCCAAAGATCCAAGAAACGCAGAATTACGGGATACCGGGTAGCTTGTAATTGATTATTCATTATCATATACATATACAATTTTCAGAACATGTATCAGAATATTTTAATACTTTAGTATCAAGTATGGTTTCGTTCGTACTCAAACATCAAATGATGAATTGGTTTTTTTGAAAACTGGCCACGGGCCTAAATATTACATATCAATCAATTACAATTCATTAATATTACCAATATTAAAAACTATCGAAAATATTCAAGAAAGTATTCTCTAGCCAAAGGGCTCAATATTTAAATCTAAATCTTCAATATTGTCTGGTTTATATCGCAACTTGGGCCCTCTGTCCCCCCTTATATCGTAATAACCGTTGTCTTTAATACCTCAAAGCGCAAGCGCTTTCTAAGATATGTAACTGAGTCTGAATAACGCTGACCCGTTGGAGATTCCATCTTTTGTGCAAGCTTCTTAATCAAGCGTTGCGCTTCGACTCCCATGCCTCCTGTTGTGGAGAAAACTAAAGGTGTAAAGGTAGCTTTTTCCACTTCTAGGACCCGTGCATTATATGCTCTTTTCTTCTCAGTCTCGTGAGCCAAATACATCATAGGAATTGGTTTAGCGGCGTTGGTTGGAGCAGGAGCGTGAAACACTCTTACATCAAAAAATGCTCTTTCCAACGCATTCCAAACTGATCTTGCTGATATATCTAGTCGGGCTTGATCTCCAGTTACTGTACCTCGTGGTAACTGCATGCCACTGACTGGAAGAAGAGGGAGCTCTGTCTGAACGTCTTTGCATTTGACTGTCCGCATGATATTAGCTATTGTATCTCGAAGTGAGTTATGCCTCCAGGTCACATAACCCCCAAGTTTACACGTGAGGGCATGGTTTGCGGAGTAGGAATCACCACAAGTACAAAGTTTTGGACAATCTTTCAGCTTCAGGTTATATCTTAAAGCTATAGCATCTGAAAACTGTTGCTTATTCAGGAGATAACCATAGCTTTTGAGTGGTAAGGTGGTTAGCCAGGAACTTGCACCCTTCTCTGCTGCTAGCTGTAACATAAGTTTAGATGTTTGTGGCAGAGACTCCTGAATTGCCTCCTGTCTTCTGGTGTAATACTCATTGCGATCTTTACTGATGGATGTCTTGATTTCATGGCTTTTATCCTTGTCTTCAAGATAGTTTACCTCTTGGCTTAGTATAGCCGTTTTTAGCAAAACTGTAGCTTTGACTGAATACAGGAACTCTGAGTTGGCCAGTTCTGTTATTATAGGGATACCCAGCCCTCCATACCTTGGTGGTAGAGAAAAGATCTCTCTAAGAGTGTCAGTGCAACTAAATGCTCTATCAAGGATTGCTGGAATGAACTCCTCTCTGATGGTAAGTTCGAGTGGTTGAAGTCTATCTGCTATCTCAGGTGTAGTCCTACACACATAGTTCCATCTTTTCGAAAGTCCATATACAAATGCAGAGTATGCAACTTGAGGCTCTCTTGATGCAATTCCTGCTAATTGCTTCACGTCACGACACCATTCCTCCACTTTCTGGTCTATAAAGCTGTGATGCCCTTCTATTGACCCAATAAAACTGCCTAAATACCCTTTCCCAACCGTTGTGATGTTGACATCAGGAAACATCTCTTTTGCAGCTTGTTCAAAATCAGGCTTCACCACTATCCATGTCTTGGCAGGTTTTGGCTGGTATCCAAACCCTGGTCCATTGCGACACAAAGTTTTCCACCATTTTTGCAGCCCAACTAACTTTCCTCCTGCAGCTGAGTCATCAGCATACCAAATCTGTTTGGTGCCTTCTATGTTGTGTGTAGAGTAGATTAAGGGCATAGTTGCACAAGCATAGAAACCCATGGCAGGTGGATCTCCTTGAGTAGTGCCAGATTCACTTAAGATCATCTCCTCTCCGCCAGATATAAATAACTCCGCAGGGGATCTGTAGATGTTCATCAGATATGTTGCAGCCTCTGGGCAAACCACATACATGTTATTAAGTGCTGCTTCTCTGTTCAACAAATTGAAAGCATTCTCAGCATCAACAAAGATCATTGCTTCTGTATCAGGGGTTTTAAAGAGCTCTCTGGCTGCATGGACTACAGCCTCCACTCCTCCTTGAAGGCCCGCACAAACCTGAATAGGTGCTGTTGAGGTAGCAAAATCTTCTTGCAATGTCATCATAACTGATTTGCCAACAATTCTTCTGATAACCTCACCAATCCCTATAGGGCGCACCCGGGCTTCTTATCCAGTGGCACCAGCCTACAAGCAGTGAAAGATTTCAGTAAATCAGGGTCAACATATCTGACACAAAGGACTCTCACCATGTTTGCAATAGCGCTACAAAGAGCATCTGACTTTTTCCCGAACTGCTTTGAACACAGAATCCGTTTCCACCCGTCAGAATCCAAGCCTGAAGGCCCTCCAGCACCCTGAACTTGCTTGGCTACATGCCTGATCCTGTCTCCGTCTATGCTATCAAAAATGACCGGTTCCACATGTCTAAATGGGCCATTAAGGCAACTGCCTTCTTGGGCTGGGGTGGCTTTCGGATGTTTCTCCTTGAGGACTTTAATAACTTCTGCTGTGGGGTTAAGCGCACATGTTGCTCTCTCTCCTATCCAGCGCATTGCCGCAGATACTTTTCCCTCCATCATCAGTCGAGTGAACACCTTTTCAATCTGTCCCTTCTCGTACTTCCTTCCTCCAATCCTCCTCTGGATTTCTCTACCTTCTCTCAGGAGTTCAGTCAACTTTCCCTCTTGCCATAGTTCCATTCTTCGTTTCAAGGCTTTGCTGTGGTCTGCAGTCTTTGATTTCTTGGTTGGCTTCTGAAGCAGCAAGGCCGGCATTATCATTAAGAGTGTCAAACAAATTCTCTCCATAGCACTGCCTGATCCAAAGTTTTTAACAACCTTGGTCATCTCCTCTATGAACACCTTGCCAATCGCCCCTGAGGGGAGAATAAATAGATTTCTCTTCCATTGAACAATCTCATCGTAAATTTCCTCACACTTAATCTTCACTTCTTCACCTTTCCATGGACCTAACAAAAGGAGGGGGGAGATCTGTGAACTCTCATAGTCAGGAAGTGAGCACTGAATAGCCGGAGCCTCAACCATTACTTCTTGCTCATCAACTTCACTCCTTATCTCTTTAATCGCTGCCGTGAGTAGGTCGTCTTCTCTTTGGGTTCCTGTAACATCAGGGTCTCCTAGTTCCAGAAGGAACTGAGTTAACTGAGTACTATTTTCAGAAGTTGATTGTATATCAACACACTCGTTACAGAACCAACCAGTAGAAGTGTTTATAAGCTGTTCATAGATTAGGCTACTCATGTTAATACAAGTACAGTGTAACCATCTTTCGCAACTATTGCAGCAAACTGCCGCATCAAGGTCAGTACACAGAGAGGAACAAACAGGGCAGGTATCATTGGTCTCTCCGGAGATGTCAGTTGAGGTCTGGCTGTCAGATGTAACTTCCCTTAGATTATCAGGCTGAAGCAGACTGTCTAATGTACTGTCCGAGCTTGATCCACTTCTGATGTCAATTTCTGGTACCAGTGTGCCACCAAAAGGAACCAACTGAATACAGCCCCCTAGGATCACTCAGTCAACTGAGTTTGGTCTGCGTTCACCGCCCCCACCCATCCCTCATTCAGGACACAAACTGACAGACTCTTCTTCACCTGCACTCTCAGTTTGCAAACAGTCAGCTAAAGCTTCACAAAAGTCTGTCCTATTCATAAGCAGCTCTATGTTCAGGTTTCTTGATGCGGACAAGTTATCATCGTCCACTGTTAGTGCTAGTAAACTGTTTTATCCTGGGGC